GCCCAGAGTGGTGCCTGGATCATAGCAGAGAACACATACACATGGAGTGATCAAATCTGCTTAGAATTATATTTGATTGCTGTGAACATCAAAGTCACGAGCATCATTCATTCTACAAGGACTAACTTGTGGCAGCTCTTATGTGCCAGGTATCATCCTAGGTGTCAGATATTACACTGGTTAAACCAGACCAGTCTCTTTCACAGATCTTTTGTCTGAGTAGTTTAGGATAGATGTGTAAAATGTGTAGCATATAGTTCTTGGTGCAACAATGAAAAATAAAGCAGGGAAGGAGAGAGGGTTAGGGGGTGGGGAAAATTGGCGCAGACTTTCGGCTTTCCTTCCCTAGAAGGGATTCTCAGACTCCCTCCCCTCCCTTCCCCGGTGCCACTGTCAGCATCTTCCACAGTAACATTTCATTCAAGGCCTCTGCAGCTCCAAGAGCAATATTGGCTTTGAAGCAGGTCCCAGCAGTGAGGCCTCAGGCTGGGGCTGGGATTAGTCGCCCTTCAGGACCCCTGGAGTGGTGGTCAAGTCCCTCGGCTTGATGGGCTATTCCTTACTTTGGGGAAGGCCTGGAGCTATGACCGGTCACCCTGGGTTCTGGGCCATCCCCTACCCTCCTCGGTCCAAGGCAGAGGGGGAGACTGACAAACACGAAGGGCCCTTTGATCAGCACTGGACTCCCGGTGTTCTGATTGTTTTTTTGTTCCAAACCACAGGCCAGAACCACACTCTGCTATGTCTCCAGCAGGGAAAACTATGAGTAGGTGGAATGTGAGTGTGCCTGTGTGAATAGGAAGATGTCTTTCCTACATGGGGCACGGATTCTCTCTGCAGGCAGGCTGGCTTTGTAGTAAAGAATTCAACTCAATTTAGTACATGCTATGGAAGCCAAGTGTGGAAGAGCACAGCTGTAATCCCACCACTCCAGGAGGCTAAAGCAGGATCACAAATTCAAGCCTAACCTGGCCAAATTATCAAGATCCTGTCTCAAAACTAAAAATCAGGGCCAGGGATTTAGTTCAGTGGCACTGTGCCTGCCTCGTAAGTGCAAGGTCCTGAGTTTGATCCCTGGTAATGCAAAAAACAAAAACCCAACAAACAAACCTAAATATTTTTAAAAAGCTGTGGGTGTAATTCAGTGCAAAGGCCCTGGATTCAATCCTGGATAGTATGTGCTGGGTTGTACAGGACAGACTGACCCTGAGTGAAGTAAGACCCCCGGAGAGTTGAAATAGGACAGGACATGAACTGAAATTTCATAGGATTTCCCAGACTGTCTTGGGGAAGACAGCTTGGGGTGTAAAGGGGTGACAAGGTCAGAGGGGAAGAGAACCATGAGGAGGAGGCAGATGCCATGCTCCAGGCTCAAGATTATGGGGTCTAAGCCAGGGAGCAGCTGGAATGGTAGTTCCAGCTCGGTGGTAGTTTCTATTCATATAGGCCTAAGCTTTTTATTGAAGTGTAACACAAATACAGAAAGGTAGACGTGGTATGGAGAGCCATCAAGCTTCTAGAGGTGGTATAATCTGGAGTTAGAAGTGTCTCTCTGTCTGCTGAGTGAGGAAAGATACAGGGGGCTGGGGCAGAAGCAAGGAGGTCAGTGAGGAAGTCATGGAGCACAGTAGTGCAGCAGAGGCCAGGAGGCTCCAGTGCAACACTGGACGTGCCCATCACTATACCTTCTCTAGAATCCAGAACAGAGCTGGACACAGCCAAAGCACTCACTAAACACCTAGTGAAAGAATGAGTGAAGACATCAGAGAATAGAAGGAAAAATTAAGACAGGAAGTGGAAACTGAGAATGATTAGCATAGGGCCTGCCACATATAGATAGATGCTCAGCTACGGTGTTGGTGAGTGAATTAATGAACAAGTTCAAGGGAGTGAGGAAAGGAAGAAACGATGGGAAGTAGGGAGCTGGGATAAAGGAGGGAAGTAGAGGAAGGGAGGGGAATTGGAGGAGGAAGATAGAGTGGCAGGAAAGAGAGCGAGGGGGAAGGAACAAAGGCAAAAAGAAGAAAAGGAAGTGGAGGAAAGTTTCCTGTTTAACTGTTTGCACAGCAGATGACAGTGACTTGCAACCTCTGGTGGCAAAAAAAAAAAAAAAAAGTCATAGTTCTTTGGAGTTGCTGCGCAAATTAGACAGAGGAAACTCCTAGTTTCTAAAAAAAAAAGTTAGGGGCCAACTCTAACAGGAACACTGGCTTCTCCATGAAGGCCCTGGTGGTCAGTGACATCCCAGCCTGACTAGGGAGAAGCAAGAGAGGCATCTGCCTATGTTGCAAATTTTAGGGGAGGGTGGTGGCTGATAACTCAATAATCAAACATTTCATGTAATTCTAAATATTAAATTGGCAAGCTGTGGCTTACAGGCTGCCTATTATTGTAAATAACGGAATCAGGATTAGGTTTTACTTTCTTAGTTACATCAGAGTACACCTTCTGTCCTTCCATTATCCTGCCCTTCCACTAAAGTAACTTTCCTAAAACCCTTCAGCCAGTGCACCGTGTAGCCAGCTCAGCTCATTAAGAATGGGCCTAGCATGGAGCACTAACTGAGCCAGCCCTTTCTTTGCCCGTGGACTGGCCACGAGAAAATGTCTGTTGGAGAAACTATTGGCCGGTGTCCTTTTTAGTGTTTGACATTTAGTGGTGTGACATCTCAGTGTCACAACACATTCCCATGGCTGTGCCACTCACTGAGCTCCTGTGAACAAACTTAATTTCCCCACGCTTTAGTTGCTTCCTCTGTAAGATGAGTTCATGCAGGTGAAGAACTTGTAGCTGTTTGATGAAGCTAGCTATTGTTAAAGTCAGGGGTTTTCATCCCAGCTCTCACTTATTGCGGCTCTAGGACAGATTTCACATTGCTGAATATTTCTGCACGTGTAAAGTGGAAACGTTACCCCACACTGGAGATGCAGGTGAGGCTTCATACATAGCCGCTAGTGCTATCAGCTCATCGTGGAAAAGAACTGCTGTTGCTCAGGACCCAGAATTGCAGAGGGCTCCTAGGCTCTTTGTGAGTCTGAACTAGGGAGAGAAACCACAGCTTCCTTCGGAATATTTGTTAACCCCTTATTTCCTCTCACAGGCCAAGGGCTGGGCAGTACTCCTCGGAGCATTTGTGAAGTTCCTCTAGTCTCCAGCATCTGCCTATCTCCCTCTCAACACTCACAAAGGAAATTATAGCTTCCCTGCTGCCACCATCCCTGCCACTGGCTGCCATGTTCTATGCCCCACTGGTGCCAGGCTTTGTGCCAAGCAGTTTGTAACAAGCTCACCACTGCTTCAACCCAGGCTGTCATTTTCAGGGACCAGCCAGCTACAGCAAGGTTTCTCTTTCAGTTTCTTTTTTTTTTGAACTGCTAAATCCACACACCCCCCCCGCCATTAAGTTCACTGGTACATTTAAAGCAAACAATCATTATTGGGATCTTGTACCTTTACATGTCTTGGTTCTTATTTTTTTCCCCATACCCCTGCCCTCCCTTCACCTTCCTTGTTTACAAAGACTTTGTTTCCATTTTTTCTTTTCCCCTCCCCACGTCCCCTTTAGCCATTTTCTTCCTATTTCACACTCTCAATTATACCATTTGAACCTTATTTACACTTTTAGTTTTTCACATCAGAGAAACTATTCAGTATTTATTCGAGTGTCTTATTTATTTCACTTAAGAGTATGGCCATTGTTTAAATGACTAGGAAGTGAAGTTTTCATTTATTCTGGCCTCTGCCACATGCAGGGCACTGAGGAGGACACTGGCAGCAAACATCCTCCTGGTCCCACTAGGAAGCTTATCCCATAAAAGCAGGCACTGTATCTGTGTTGCTCACTGTTGGGCTCTACTCATAAAGTACCAGGCCCATACAAGGCATTCAAAATATATTTGCCAACTAAAACTGACCAGGAGGAAAGGTATGTTTTACACCTGCCCCCCCACCCACCCACACGTATCCTCTGTTGGGGAAAGAGACTGGTTGAGCAAGGTTAAAAGCCTGTTACTGGTACTTTGCATCCTCAGTTTTCTTGCTCCTTAAACCAGACTTTTATTTGGGGGGAAAAAAAGGAATTAAGGTGTATCATGTACATGTACCAATTCCCCACAAGGCATGTGAATATTCCTCATGTACAACAAATATGTGCTAATTTTTTTAAAAAGACTTGATCAAACTTCAATCATTCACAAGCCTCTCACAATTTTTGATGTGTTTACTGCCTGTGATAAAAAATTACCTCCCTTTTCCATCTATATAAACTTAGAGGAACTTGATATCAATCACATCTCTTAATTAGAAGGTAATAATAAAAATATAGAGCAACAAAAACAATGCTATCTAAATTTCAGTTGCCTGAGAGAAGCCTGGTTTTTTTAAAAGAGAAACTGGAGTTAAGCAGCATTTTTCTTCTGTACTATGACCCTTAAAAAGAAATATATTTTATAACAAACCCAGTACATATCTACAATGTGTTCAAAATATAGTGGATGTCTAAATTTTAAAATTGTATTATTACAGTAAGACACACTGCCATTAATCCCCCGCAAAATGCTTCACATCATTTATTCTATCGTTCTTGTCACTTCTAAGAAAGCAGTTCTGGATGTCTCCTTTCATGTCTTTATGAAGTATGATAAAAAGTACTCTGAATACTGTGGTCAAGAGCCACCCAGTGGAAAGGCAGGCTCACAGAAAACATTATGTGTGTCCTCACCCACTTTATTCTGGCTCTTTTCCACAAAGTCAAAATGCCCATGACAAATAAACATTGACATGGCAGCCATAACAGTGTAACTTGATACTCATGAAAGACTTCCAGAATTGCTTCAAAAGGTGACAAGAACAATGGGCTAAGTCTGTGGAAGAGAGTGGAAGTACTCTGAGAAGGATTAACAGTTATGTCTCTTTACTTTAATAAAGTTTGAAAAATAAAACATCTCTTGTATTATCAGACCCTTTATGTCCAACTATATATTTGAAACAAATTTCATAAAATACACTGATATTTCCTAGATTTTATTTCATTTTAAAAATATTGGTTGTCTCCCAAAACTCATTTCAATAAAACATATCATGTACACTACAAAACACAAAGCACTGGGTTACATATGACAGCCTGCCCTAGATTGCTTTACGTATCCAATTCTGCCCAGAGTATGTCTTATTTGCACAAAAAACTCTTGACAACAATGAACGGTGGGTTACTAACACAAGTGTCAACACAGAATGCTTAAAAATATCCCAACTCCTTTATTTAGTTGCATTCAAATTTACTCTGAAAAACAGCCTCACTCTATGTGATTGTCACACACGTTCTTCTACCCGACCATTGACCTCTTTCTTCCTCTCAAGCGCACTTCATCTAATTTTTTGAGCACTGGCTTGGACTTTTTGGAGGAGGTGGAGTAGCTCTTCAAAAAGGCTTCAAACACAGTCTCAGTGTTGGGGTGAGTACTGAGGAAGGCTTTCTCTAGGACGTAGAGGTCTACACCCTTATCTTCTGGAAGTCCCGAGATGAAACTCAGCCCAAAGTCTATGAGCACAATGTTCATCTGTTCTATGGGGGGTTTCAAGAGCATGTTGGAGGTGGTGAGGTCACCATGAATGAGGTCTCCGTCATGCATTCTAGCCAAAACCTGCCCAACTGTTTTGGCTAAGCCCAAGAGGCTTTGGGGAGTTTTTTCAGTCTCCATAGTGGATTGAATATAATCTCGAACAGTCACTGCACTTTGAATTTCTTCCATATATAAGCAGTTACAGGCATAGTCCACAAAAAAGACAACTGGAACAGATATCCCTGCAATCAACACATAAGTGGTAATTAGGCCAAATTCTTTTTAATGGGAGGTTTAATATTCAAAGATGAGCCAATATTCCAGACACTACTTACTACTTACTTCAGAAGAAAGATTTAGTAATGTTTTGGAAAATGGTGTAACTTATCTGGATGTTTCCCTTGCCCAAGCCACACAAGACTATGCCTGAGACCAGCTATGGCTAAATTTAAAGGCCTTAAATCTTCCTCTTCCTTTTCCAAACACCTTTTATGGCTGGACTATCATATTTAATCCCTAAAATGCAAAACAAAATAAATGTAGAGGGGAAACATCACCCAATCAGAGGAGTTCCTACCTGACAGGGACATAATCAGGCAGCCAGCAGCATAATGGCTTACAGATTCATTCTTTGGACTCAGAAAGGATGGGGTTCAAAACCCCAGCTCATTCCCTTATTAGTGGTAACATTAAATTACATTAACTTCTCCAAGCCTCAGTTTCTGCTATTACATGAGAATTTCTCCAATAACCCTAATGAGTCTTTACTGAATATTAACCAGACCCGGAACACTTTTCTAGAAACTAGAGACATGTCAATAGGGATACAGCAGTAAACAAAGGAGCCACTTTGTGTCACAGAGAAGGTGAAAAAAAGAAAATCTGAACACACAAATAACTGTTAAATCATCATTAAAGCTCTGCAAAGGTAGTGATGTGTCTGCTTATTCACTACTGGATTTCCCCAAAATACTATAGCAGCTAACAATGTCCTGCTGCACAGATGTCCCCCCAACCCCTCCCCCCAAAAAACTAATAAAGGCAAGAAGTGTAGAGCAAAGCTTCAAAGTCAGAGGGACAGACCACTTACTTGCTGCATAAATAACCCTGGGCAAATTACTTCCCCAGATGACCATTAGTTTCTCATCTGAGGACAGGGTTTCTGGTGAAAGAGGGTGAGGATGTTTTAGTGAAAAAAATAATGAATTAATGAACTTCATGAAATATGACATTTACTGAATGTCATGTGCCAGGGATACTTTCATTCACAGTACATGGCCCATACATCTTCTCTACTGGTCACAACATCTCTGAGATGGATATCTCTACTATGACTTCCACTTTATTGGTGAAGAAACTGAGGCAGACAGGTTAAACAACTTTTTGAAAAGCTATATATGAAGCAGTGCCTGCCCTCAAGGCAAGTACCTATAATTACAACTGCTTCTTTTCTGTTGCTTGTCTTTTGAAACAGGGTCTCAATATGTAGCCCAGGCTGGACTGAAACTCGGAATCTTTCTGGATCCGCTCGTCTCAGCCTCCGGAGGGGTGGGTTTACATGCCTGGGCCACCACATTCCGTTTGTCTGCTTCTTAAAAGTACTGAATGAAGAATTAATGATGGAGCCGGAGATTTAGCTCAGTGGTTCTGGCGCCCGCACAAGGACCTGAGTTCGATCCCCGGCACCAAAAAAAAAAAAAAAAAAAATTGATGGAAAATCGAAACAGTACACATGGGGAAACCGAAGCTCAGAGAGGTTAAACAACATGTTCAGCGTCGAACAATAGCAGAGTTGAGAAACGGCTCAAGGACAGTTGCTACAAGACCGGGTGTCTTAGGAATGAATGAACGGAGAGGAAAAAAAGGATGACATTTCTCAAACGAAGGCCAGGGCAGAAGGTACAAACGGAGACACCGTGACAAAAGGAGGCAGGGAGTGCTGGGGAGTCCCTGACCGCCGTCGCCCAGCCCCAGAGCCTCAGCGTCCTAGAGTTGAGAAACGGCTCAAGGACAGTTGCTACAAGACCGGGTGTCTTAGGAATGAATGAACGGAGAGGAAAAAAAGGATGACATTTCTCAAACGAAGGCCAGGGCAGAAGGTACAAACGGAGACACCGTGACAAAAGGAGGCAGGGAGTGCTGGGGAGTCCCTGACCGCCGTCGCCCAGCCCCAGAGCCTCAGCGTCCTCTCTCGCCCC